GAGAAGAAGATTTTTGAAATTTTAGTCAATTTGACCCTTTTTGGCCCCGCCCCTCAGGCCCCTGGGGGCTTAGGACTAAACCGGCAACTATTTTTGTTGACCTTTGTCCATGGAAGGTCCCTGCAAAATTTCATTGAAATTGGTTCAGGGGTTTTGGAGAAGAAGTCGAAAATGTAAATTGTTTACGGACGGACGACGGACGACGACGGACAAAAGGCGATCGCAATAGGCCACTTGAGACTTTGTCTCAGGTGACCTAAAAATCTCCTGGGCTGTTCAGGACAAGTAGTGTTTTAAAGGAAAAGTTGACAGATGGACGACAGACGACGGACGCCATTTGACTTAAACATCAAATTCCCATTTTTGGCCCCACCCCTAGGCCTCTGCACCAAGAGGCAACACCCTCAGTTAATACAAAATTTAGTCCCCTTTGACAAAGGATACTCCAGGCCAAATTTGGATAAAATCCCTCAAATAATATAGAAGGCGACAGGTTTTAAAGACTTACCTCAAATTCCTCTTTTGAGCCCCACAACTCTGCACCCAAAGGGACCACACCCATCGTTTGTACAAGATCCGGTCCTTTTTGCCGAAGGATGCTCCACACCAAATTAGGATAAAATCCCCTTATCACTACGATATAAGCAGGATTTTAAAGGTTTTACCTCTATTTTGCCTATTGGGCCTTGTCCCTTTGCGTTCAAGGGAGCCAAACCCATCGTTAATATTCAAAATAGAGTCCCCTAGTATAGGCCCCAGGATGCTCCAGACTAAATTGGGATGAAATCTCTCAATCCCTGTGGTAAAAGGATTTTAAAGGTTTACTTCTATTTCCCCTGTTGGGCTCCACCCCTCTGCCCCCAGAGGGGACCACACCCACCATTTACACAAAATTGAGTACCTTGGCCCAAGGATCCCCCAGGCTTAATTATGATAAAATCCCTTAATCCCTACAGTATAAGAAGGATTTCTGTGACTGACCTAAATGTAAAACTTGACCAACCAGACACATGGTCGAAGGAAGCGTTGTATGCCACACTTCATGGTTGGACATTAAAAATAAAAAGGAAAACAAAATTGACTGACTGGCAGTGATGTGGCAAAGGATATGAGGTTTTACTGTAAATAAATCTTAAACCTCCCCAGAAAAAAAGTAGAAGAAAATTCTTGGATTGATTTCATAGATTTTATTATAGCACACAAACCACATAAAATGTATCCATCAACGCTCATCATGCATCTATACACTTAACACTCATCTTTTACACCTAGTCACAGATACCGTACACTCGGTCGACACTTTACACTCATTTCTTACACTTTTGTCTGGGGTTGATCACACATTTCTAGTTTTCCTCACAGATCCTACATTTCTATTCTCCTTGCAGAGTTATAGTCCCTGCTTCACAAGGAACTCTCCAACTTCTTTCATATAGTTTCCCTTTAGTTTTATAGTTCTGGACACTTCGTTAATTTGTGTGAGCATCCTCTTGCTGACCATCTTCCCTACCGCATGACGGAGGTCTTTATCAAATGCCTACAAGATCAACAAGTAAAACAAGGGATTATGCACAAATTAACAAAGATCAGAGCATGTTTGAGTATTCTGGAAACTAAATGAAGAACTGTTTGATCTAATTACTGTTAACCAGAATATGTTTGCTGCACTTATATTTTCATCTTCCATAATGAGGCCACTTCATATTTAAGCGAAGATTAGTAAGGCCAAAAAATAAAATATGTGTTTCCTGCTTCCCTACTGACCCTAGATTTTTGTGCATACTCTTCTAAAGTTTTTACTGGCACTTAGTGTTAAACCCTAGTAAAATCAGAACTCCTGCCCTATAGTATAGCAAATAAAAATTTGCCTTCCTACTGACCCTACATTTTTCAAGCAGAAACAGGATACACATATTTTTTTTGGCCTAGATACATTTATTTCATATATAGTGTATATCCACTAGTGATGGGCAATCGGTTTAAAATCCTAATCGATCGTCAGTTTGTAATCGGAGGTAGTAACCCATTCGATGATAGATTGCATAATCGGTTTATAATTTTATTGGGCTGAATACCCCAAAAAAGTAAGAACACTACTATTACATCTATGGACAGAGTTGTTCACTATACACTACTATAACATCAATAGACAGAGTTGTTAACTATACACTACTATTACATCAATAGACAGAGATGTTCACTATACACTACTGTTCACTATACACTACTATAACATCTATGGACTGAGTTGTTCACTGTACACTACTATTACATCTATGGACAGAGTTGTTCACTATGCACTACTATTACATATATGGACAGAGTTGTTCACTATCCACTACTATTACATATATGGACAGAGTTGTTCACTATACACTACTATTACTTCTATGGACAGAGTTGTTCACTATACACTACTATTACATCAATAGACAGAGTTGTTCACTATACACTACTGTTCACTATACACTACTATAACATCTATGGACAGAGTTGTTCACTGTACACTACTATTACATCTATGGACAGAGTTGTTCACTATACACTACTATTACATAAATAGACAGAGTTGTTCACTATACACTACTATTACATCAATAGACAGAGTTGTTCACTATACATTAGGTTTCCTTCTTTTATAATGAATAGATATGAAGCAACTTTTATGCAGTTTTATCAGTTATAACAATATATGACTTTGAAAGCATAGTTTACATGGAAGACATTAAATACTTTGATTTCATTGATGAACCGATTACATCAATTGTGGATTGTGTAATTGATAATTGGAATCGGAAAGGGCAAACCCATCAATTTTTGATTATAATTGATCATCAGCCCATCACTAATTTCCACTATGAAAATTTGTACACAACTTACTTTACAAGGTAACCCTATACATAACAAGAGATCCAAGATGGATCTTGGCGCCCACCATTGTACCATCTGCATTTATTAGTTCTTTGTCAGTTCGATCTTTTCTCTTCTTTTCTCTAATCTGTTTGATCGAGTCACGTTAACAGTAAATGCACCTTGAGGTAACTTTTGATCTAAACTTAATACTGCTGTGTATAAAAGACAAACCTCAGAGTGAGTTTGTCATTTCACATATTTACTAGTACAGTACTTAATGTGAAAGAAGTAGAATCAATCATTGCAATATTAGAAAGAACTGTCAAGTTCTTCCTTCGGCCATTGTTTTTATGATCACTCTCAAAATAAAACATGCAGGACTAAGGACCAAGGGGAACCTACAAACCAAATATGAGAAAGACTTCAAGTACTTCCTAAGAAATAGCACTAACAAACCTTCAATGTCAGAAATCCAAGATGGTCATCTGTCGGCCATTTTGTTTATCTGATCAATCCCAAAAGTAAACATGAACAATTAAGGATGGTGGGGACCTACATAACCAATCGGAGAAAGTTCCTTTCAGTACTTTTTGGGAAATGGTGATAACAAACCTTCACTGTCAAAATCCAAGATGGCTGCATGTCGGCCATTTTGTTTATCTGATCAGTCTCAAAATTAAACATGCACAACTAGAGACCAAGCAGAACCTACACATAAAATTTGAGAAAAATCCCTTTGGCACTTCTTGAGAAATAGCGATAACAACATTTGTTTCATGATGGACGACGGACTGATGACTGACGGACCAGGGACCTTGGACAACGGACGAAGAGCGATTTGAATCAGATGATGGTAGACTACACAGCTAACTATTAAATATATAGTATTTTTCTTGTAAAAATCCATGGAGCTGATATGGATTTTCAGTGAATGGTGAAATAACTCACTGGATGAACGTTTACCACACTGAGTATAAAGTATACAATACATCAATTTCTGAAAAAAGAATTGCAACAGGTAAATGTCTGTAAAATATACATTATATGCCACTCTCCCACTTGGAGGAAAATGGAGCTAAACATATATAAAGTTGCATGAACAAAAGTCAATGAAGCAAAACCATTAGGTCATAGTGACCTAGATACCACATGATGATGTACTCCTGAAGATGTATCCGCATAGACCGTTTGATGAAAACACAGATCTATCAGAGAAATGACGCTGAGTGTAAAGAGTTAACAACACAAGTAGAACTAAATGCACAGAGTTACAAAGTCTGTGAAGTGGAAAATATAGGTCACAGTGACTTACATGTAACATAATCAAATGGTGTAGTACTCCTGACCATGTTACTAGTAATCATATTACAAATGTATCCTTACCCAAATGTCCCCTTCTATTTTTCTGATACTGGTGACCTGACTCGCACCTCCATTCTTTTCTCCCAAGTAAACAGGAAGCATGTGATTCTTTGTTCGCCTTATCCAGTAGATTTTTTCGTTGATGTTGCCTGACAAATGATATATCAAGAGTAGTAAATAACACAACCTAGAAATTAGTAGAATGACAAAATAATATGAGTATAAACTTCTCTCAAACCTGCCTTTGTAAATAAATATGGGAAATATCCCATGTAAGTATCAGTGGTCAGAGGAGCATTCTCCCTTGTAGGTTTTCACAGCCCAAGGAGTTTTCTGGTTAAGAGTTGCTGGATGGCAACACATCATTTAGATCACAGTCCAGTCATTTTAGCATAAACCTCAATCTAATTGGAACAGAATTTACTTACGGTACTTTTCATTTTTCATAACAATGGATATAAACATGTATCTTATAATTATTATAAAAGGAAAAATAAATCCAATTTGGAAAATAACATTATAATTGGATATATTGTTCAATTCAGACTTATGAATAGCACCAAATCATACGTTCTGGGCAACTTTGAAGGTTTAAAAATATTTGTTCTGCATGCGAAAGCAATATTTGCCGTGTATGTCTTTCAATCAACCAGTCATAAACCAATTTTATAATTGAAATTAACTTACATCTTGAACTTCGCATTTTTGTTTCAATGGACAAGTCTACCACTGATAAAACCAGTGCCCTGACCTGGCCGAAATGACACAGGTTCATGCATATGTTAATAGAAAAATAAAGAGTCTGGATTGGTTAAAAACAAAGGGAAGTTTGCAGTGTTCTAACCAGCCTGAATTTCTTAGAAATACAGAAACAAACCTATTAGTTCGGACTACCGTTTAATCTTTTTAATTCGTAAATGTTTGCAATTAATTTAAAAAAAAAATGAATTGCCCATATTTCTATTTTCCACATAACCTGCAGATTTTACAAAACTTTTAATAATGTAAAACAGATTCACCTGTCTGTGGAACCCAGCCAGTTGTCGTGGGTTTGCCATCTTCCGGTGGCTCAGGAACTGTTCCTGGGGGCAGAAGTTTCTTAACATATTTAAAGTCTTCTTTAGAAACCTCATAGTCTGTATACTGTGGTAGAGAAGGTTCACTGTTTACTGGTGATGTTGTTGACACAAATCTCTGAAAGAAAAAAATTGAAGGAAAATAATAATAAAAAAAACAGAGGTCATGCAGTTAATAGAATTCGATCTTATTCAAAAAGAAAATAAGATTTTTTTCTCTTTAGTTTTCTGATTCATTACCAGGAAATTCACACTGAAGATATTTGACCAATTCCGTCTGCGTATTGCAGTCATAATTTTTGAGAAAACGACGTAATTTTCTCACACAAACCAATGACGTAACAATCAATACCTGCTCACAAGAGAAGATAACTCTGCAATATGCAAAGACGGAATATAGAAATGATGGACAAAACAAGAAGTAAGGTAATAAATAAATATATGCCACGTATATATATATACATGTATATATTCATCTTAATCCTTTTACATTGTGTCATAAAATGGTACAAGAGTTAGAGTTACCTCCCATTTTCAAGTTTGGTAAAACACATTTAATTATTGCCAATAAGCACTTGTCCCTGAATGTATTCAGATATTGAATGAAGATTTAAGTTATTTATTTGAAAACTAAAGTTACAATTCAAATCAATCTGGCATTGTACATTATATATCATAGGGTTTTCATTAGAATAGGGTGTAAGTAACTCGGGTATCAGCAATTGACTGCAAACTGACTGCCTAGGTAAAATAAAGACTTATTGTTAACAAGAGGCCCAATGGGCCTGCATCGCTCACCTGGTATTAATCTCACACTTGTAGTCTTAATAGTGGACTAAATAACAGCTACAGGCAGAATAACAGTGTTTGATTCATAAGAACCTATTAAAAGATTTAAACATAGGACACCTGTGACCTCGAATGTCGAACAAGGACATTAGGTTGAAAGTGGGAAAAGGTCATTCAATCGAACAAACTTGGTAGCCCTTCATCCAAGCATGCTACAGGCCCAATATAAGTACCCTAGGCCTTTTGGTTATTGAGAAGAAGTCGTTTGAAGATTTAAAGACATTTGACCCCTGTGACCTTGGAAGTCGGTCAAGGTAATTCATTTGAACAAACTTGGTAGCCCTTCATCCCAGCATGCTACAGGCCCAATATCAGTACCCTGGGCCTTTTGGTTATTGAGAAGAAGTTGTTTGAAGATTTTAAGATATTTGACCCCTGTGACCTTGAAAGTGGGTCAAGGTCATTCATTTGAAAAAACTTGGTAGCCCTTCATCCCAGCATGCTACTGGCCAAATATCATCAGCCTGGGCCTCTTGGTTATTGAGAAGAAGTTGTTCTCGGGTCAGGTGAGCTAATAAACAATGAAAATCAAATTGCTGTTTAATTTTGCTCCGATTATAATGAATCAGCAATTTCTACTCAAGGACTCGAAACTAGTCACCATATGTTATCTCTTAACGACCATTTGCCTCTAGTTAACATTTAGTACTAATATTATTATACCCAGCCTCTTCTGCCCCGGCTGGGTATTTGACAACGCAACTTACATATAATTGTCTTGTCATCAGAAGCTACGCTATCACAGCTAGGAAATGGGTAGTGAATGTTAACAACACATCACTTCTGTTTCTGCAACACCATTAGAGATAAGGAGGAACAACCAAGTATGATTACACTAGTTTACTCAAAAAACTTGTAGAAAAATGTCAGAACTTATCATTGTGTCCTAAACAAAATCAAATGACTGTCATATGGACTTGGTTGTCCGGCTATTATATATTCTTAGTGAAGTGAACTTATATAGTATTATATAGAGCAGAACGCAACACCCGGTTGTTTCAGTACCTAGTAATTAACAGAATGTTTACTAATGTTTTAAATTGAAAGACAAAAAATTAATATGGCAGAGACGATATCTGTGATATGTATATTTATGTTTTATTATAATATTACGGTATATACAAGTACATATGTTCTGATATAGTACTAGCGACTTTTATTTCTGTGGTATAGTTATTTCCTTATTTTGGCCTCTTAGATTAGTTTGGTTCTACATATTTTTATCATTGGTCAGTTTTGTAAGTTATCCCGTTGTCACCTCTTGAGTTAGCCAATGGTCAAGGTTTTCTTTGTTTTCTATGTGTGACCGGTGATTTTGGCGCGACATTTGTCAGAGACTACATGACGTCTTGAGGAAGCAGACAAGACAGAACACTGGTAAGAAATTTACTAACTTTCACAAATTAATAGTCGGAATTCTACGTCATCTGCTTCCATTTATATTGTCAAATTGATAGATACGATCATACTAGTTAATTCTTGACTCGTTATTACATATACCGTATATATACACTGCATCATTTTACTTGTATTTTTATATATACATATATCTTTGTCATACAGAAAATATGATTACACGTAAAAACCTTGGATAATTCCTTACCACTTCAAATGGCCCTGTTCCACAAATAGGTACAGTTTTATATCTTAAACTTATAAGAGTGTATTTTATTTGTCTATTTATTTAGTCATCTCCGTATCAATAAATACAAGATAAGATTTACATCATATGTTCAATATCACATGTGTATAAACATCAGTTAATATAATGTAAATCTAGAGGAAATATAACTTTTGTAATTTATAGATCTATAATCGTACATGTAACATCTTCTACGATAAATTCTTGTAAATTCATATTGTATGCCATGTATATGTGCCATATGAGTTGTAGATTTTGGGCAGGTTCGTCCCATGACGCAGGGACAGGTTCGGGCCAATGCCATACACAGGAAGCCTGGCATTGGCGGGAAAATATGACGTTGCATGCTTTCTGACGTCATAATTATATGCAAATTCAAATGTGGGCTGAACTTACATGTACCCCAGACATCCTGTCCAACTTACCCAAGGCAGTGCACATTAGGCCATACACTCTTCCAACAGTAAAGAGTTTAATAACTCTTCAAATACGGGCATGTTTGCCATTCTTGTTATAGTTTTTTGAAGGGCATGGATTTTTCTCTTCAGAAAGGTGTAAATACACATAAATTTTAACAAATAGTGAAATACTGTCCAGAACGACTTTAAATAATGAAAATGGGCCAAACTTGCCCGTCTACTTAACCGAAATTTCAGTTAAATTATGCAGAAAACTGTATTTCCATGTGTGCCCGCTGACTAGGTCTCACCTATTTTATATTAAAATATATCGAAACAAGTTTTGATACGCTTATTGTACAGTGTCCCGAAACGTCTCAGTACCGTCTTCACCCATCAGATGCATACATATAACAATATAGGACCTTTTATGTCCTGTCTTGTCACCACATCCAAACAGATTTCACGTAAAATGGTCTTAAATAATAATTCTAAAAAAAGATCTACTGTGCAACAAACCATACCGATGGAAAGTTATAATTTCCCAATACTAATCGCTTCGTGGTGGCCAAAAAGACTCTGACGGGCGCAGACATCTTGATTTTTTTTTGCCTCTCGTTAGAACGTGATTCAGGGAATAAAATAAATTGGCAGATAATTTTGACACGCAGTTATAATAAATTTTTGATTTTATTTTATTTGAAACATTGTTCTTGGCATCATATGTTTTTATCCAGACTTGCTTTATTTTAACCAATCAAATTGCAAATACCGCACCCTGCTAATGGCCTCAAGGTCAAAGTACATGAACATGGCGGCTCATCAAACTTGAGAGGTAGACAAAGGTGTGAAAAGATGGGAAAATCTACCCAAAAAGATCCCTTTCTCACCATGACAAACAAACTATGCCAGGTTATCTGTCGTTATGTTATAGCTTAATCGTTCCGTATTTCATCTACTATATTCTTATGGCTAATTTAAGGGTAGTGCTGTTCGACCAAAACATCGAATTTGCATGTTGGAACCTACCCCAAGACACCAACAACATTGGTGTTTACCGTAGAGGAGACAAATGCACGGCATTGTCTAATGCCTAGTGCATTATCCTCAGTGCCAGATTCGATGGCATCACCTCATGATAAAAAGTTAAATAGAAGGTCGATCGAAAACGGTTCTGGTCTCTGGACTGCCGTATTCGACTACGAAGCAAAACACGAAGATGAATTGACACTACGAAGAGGGATTACGGTTGAGGTGTTGTCAACCGATAAACACATTTCAGGAGATGAAGGATGGTGGACTGGCAGGGTTGACAACAATGTTGGAATATTCCCAAGTAATTTTGTCACTAATAACTATCGTATTGAACACACTATCCCACCCGATATTACAATCGATTTCAATGAATTACAACTGGAGGAAGTTATTGGAGTTGGGGGGTTTGGAAAAGTTTACAGGGGTGTCTGGAAAGGTGAGACTGTTGCAGTGAAAGCAGCACGTCAAGATCCAGATGAACCCATAAGTGCAACAGTTGAAAGTGTTCGTCAGGAAGCCACTGTGTTTTGGTTTTTAGATCACGCCAACATAGCAGCTCTAAAAGGAGTATGTCTGAAAGAACCAAATTTGTGTTTAGTAATGGAATTTGCGGAGGGTGGATCCCTCAACAGGGTGCTTAATGGACGACGGATACCTCCTGACATACTTGTGGATTGGGCAGTACAAATTGCAAAAGGGATGCATTATCTTCACGAAGAATCGCCTATTCCATTAATACACCGTGACCTCAAATCAAGCAATAGTGAGTATACTTTTGATGTCTTGTGAATATTGATTTTATAATTTGTAACATTACAATGAAATACTATTAAAGCTCAGTCTTATTTAAGGCAGAAATAAGCCAATCTTTTATAGGGAATATATTTATAGTGATTTGAAAATAAGGGTCTACTAGCTGTTCTGATGCAGTCCACGCAAAATGGATTTTATTTTACAGGACATTCGGCCTGGTGAAAGTCAAAGATTTACAGAACTGCATGGAATCTTTTTTTTTCCAGACATCTCGGTCTGGTGAAAGTTTTTACTTTACCAGACCAAATTATATTTATTAGACATACATATATCTTTATTAAGCTATATTTTACACCAATATTGAAAAGAAACCACCGCAAACACCATCAATAAACTGTAATTTTTATCAAACACTTCGAGAAAACATCATTAATTTGTCCCAGTTATCCTCCTCGCTTTGAAAGTCCTCACTGAAATCATCTTCAGTATCGTCTTTTCCAAAGACAGTGTTTAGTTGATGAATGAGGTCCTCTTCAACCCCAGCACTCGCCCCCTCAAACACCCTAGCACCCTCCTCTTCCAACACCCTCGCACCCTCCATCGATAAACCATAACATTTTATATCATGTGGCCTTGACGATGGCATCAATATTAATCAACTGTTATGACGCGTCATCGCAGACGTATTTATATATATAATGTCTAGATGTGGTTCACAGGCTAAGCTGCGCATCTACGGCAGCCATCTTTTTACTAACTTGAAGTGGAGAATTGCTAAATTTTAAAGTTCTACATCTTCTGTAATGTGAAGCTGCAGTAATTGAATGTAAAAAATTAGACAGGAAATCAAACGTTGCTCGGAAGGTCGAAATAATTTGATATGGCAGTTGGCTGTTTGACTGCATTTCATATAAGACGGGATCACAATTGTGACATGGATCTACAATGTTTTCTATTTGTCCTGGGGGTTGATACTGACACAAAATGCAGAATGGGTAGCTGGAGGAAGAATTTCTAGGACAGTACACGGCTAGTCACCAATGTGAGCATAAGCTGACAATAATTTGATGATTGATCATTTTGGTTGTTTGAAGAATTTCTTGTGTAGCTTCAATAAAAATATAAAATCTCCTCAAGTGGTATCTTAAAACATGTCAATAGTTATCTCCCTTAGCAAAATCATATGCACAGGCAATGTTGATCTTTGTCAAATTCATCAGCAAATGAAACAGGTTACATTTGGTAGTTGCATTGAGTCCAACTTGAGAGAAGGAATTGAAATATGAAGCAGTATATCTCATATAATGATCAATATGTTATATTCTAGTTCTGACTGAGAGTCATGAATATATATATATATATACATGATCTGTATAAAGATACACAACACTAGCTGATGAAAAGTAAATAATAATATTATCATTTATTGGTGCATTTTTTTCCTCTGTCATTATTGCGTTGGCAATGTTCACATATCTTTTATTTGCTAGTCATCATATAACTAACAGGATTATTCTGTCCCAAGTCAATGATGGTAAGGATAGTATTCTCCTTTGGATGAAGTGGTCTCCCCAGTCATTATAGCCGGGGATGGTGTTCTCCATGCATGGGTCATTTATAAACTCAGGGGCAGTATTCTCCATGGGTCATCATTGCTGGGGGCACCATGATCTCCCCAGTCATTATATTAAAGCAAGGGAAAGATCTTCCCTGGGTCATTATAGTTGGGGGCACTGTTCCCCTGGTCATTATAGTTGGGGGCACTGTTCCCCTGGGTCATTATAGTTGGGGACACTGTTCCCCTGGGTCATTATAGTTTGGGGCACTGTTCCCCTGGGTCATTATAGTTTGGGGCACTGTTCCCCTGGGTCATTATAGTTGGGGGCACTGTTCCTCTGGGTCATTATAGTTGGTGGCACTGTTCCCCTGGGTCATTAAAGTTGGGGGCACTGTTCCCCTGGATCATTATAGTTGGGGGCACTGTTCCCCTGGGTTATTATAGCTAATTAGGTAGTGTTCTTATAGAAAGTGTTTTTCTCCTGCCCACACAACACCAACAACCTAGGTGGAGTATAAAATGGTCTTGGGTGATGCAGGGATCACTATATTTACCCCTCTTTTTCAGAAATATCGCGCTAAATGGGATTAAATATCTCAAGGTCTTTATCTTTGGATCACTTACTTTCTGGGTATACATGATTTTAACATTAAAACTAATAATGTTATCAACAATCACGTCGGACTGGACATCGTTACATTACACTCAAACTTCCAACGAATTCAAAGAGGAAGCTAAGTAAGTCGTTGTTTATTGACCACATTTACCTGTTCACCTGAGTCGTAATCACTCAGATGCTTGCTCTTAAACGTCTATCGAAGTGAAGCGCTAAGATGATCTAGACCTCGATATGCCTAACTTCTACATAAACTAATTTAGAACAGTATTCAGGCAATGAAATGAATCTGAATATGTCCTACCAAGTTATTTAACGCAACGGCGATAGTTATATACATTAAAGAGAAAACACTTATATATATGTAGTCATTGATTCTTATGTAATTTATATATTAAAAAATACTTGGAATAAAATCCTAATTGATATTTTTTTGTTTTCTAGATGTGTCTTTTTGTTTTTAATATTTTCGTTTTTAGCTAAGGCGTTAGCCGCCAGCTATTGGTATTACTTTTGTTAATGAGCTCAGATATTCATAAATGTCGATTTCACACAGACGGCCTCTAGCGGTAGTCACTGGTACTAAATTGAATCATATACCGGACCTACTGTCTTTATTATGCGTAACTTTGGACTCAAATGCACTTGAATGGCTTGTAAATATCATTACTTTTCTTTATAGAACATATGATCTTATCACAACGTCGTATTCTTATTGAAAATGCACCCTGTTTATCTCAATCGGGAACTGCTACTTGAATGTAGGTCATGCATGCTACACGCAACTTCCGGTAAAAATACTTCAGTTAATGAGCTCAGATATTCATAAACGAGACATAACGTCACCTTCTAGTAATACTAAACAAACTGCAAATAAAATCCATTACCACGGACTCAAGTTCACTCAAACGTCATTGGATATAATCTTATTCTTAGTTAGAACTAAGTATCCTTCTAAAACTTCGTATTTACTCTTGGAACTGTCGCTGGATTAACCCTTTACACGGAAATATTGTCCTGTGATTGGCTAAAATTGGTGACATTTACGTCCCTGTTTACAATTATATATTGCGTGGTCAGAGCTATGAAGCGGTCCTGTTCCAACTAACTGAGGATAATCAAAAGTGCTAATCAGTAATAATATATCTGATTCACGCTTCATATGATTATAATGTTATCAAAATATTGCATATTCGTTCATCGTTAAAATAACAAATCCTTACTAAAAACTCTAAAAAAAGAAACGACGGCCATGTTAGATCACGCGTGATGTTATCCGTTTCCTTATATGGCCTTCACGGCCAAATATAGTATTACTACTGATGCGGTCATGTTTACTACAATTTCCATATTTGGTCATGACACCCATATTTAGACGTCTGACCTATATCGGAAAGATTGAGGAAGTTTCCAACATGGCAGTCAATTAGGATTTCGCTTGCACTTGTTACGTAAACTTGATAATTTAACGAAATATAAGGCGGAGTATAACTTACAATTATGTAGGAGATCAACATAAAAAGTTCATATTACAAACCTATTAATGGATACGGATCCTGTCAATTAATTCTAAAATCGCCTCCGTGTGATTCACACCAGGCTTGCCTAACTAAAATGGGATCAACCGGCCGGGGCAGATGAGACCGGGAATCATGTTAGAACTAGCCACTGTCCTTCTCTAGTTCCATATTGGTATTCTAACCTGAAGGCTTTTTTTACCTTCGCAGTATTATCATTTTGTTCTATTTTCATCATAAGATATGCTATTGCATTTTTATATCGCCTTCTCGCTAATTACAGCTCAGCCAGAAACGAAAATATGCTCCGATAGGCCTACATTTTATATGTCTGTTGGTGTGATTTGTGTTTTTCGTTTATTGAAGTATTACCATATAACAGGACTCTTTTATTTCAATATACACAAAAACAACAACACCTTCGGAATGATTTCAGACATATACTGCGGGAAAACACGAGTGATCTCCCTTACATTTAGACATGCGCACATTTTACTTTCGTTTTGTGTAGGCCTAGACATCATTCGCAACGCGAAGCGGAAAAGACGAAAATGCAGGCGAGTGTTGACTTAATGTTAGGCATGTTGTTTAAGCAGCATTGACAATGAACAATATACATACACTTCTGCAACGTTTACCTACTACTGATTCATAAATAAGGCTATGTATCCCGATTTCGGTGACTTGTGGCCAAGCATGCGGCCGAAGCCGCAGAGAATGGCGCATGTTGTCAGCGGCGATGACAAAAAGGAAGGTGCTTCTACGGTATGTATAGCAGTTATTATGCAAAAACAAACATAATAAACGGACGTTTTACTCTAGTGAATTACAGCGTCACGAGGAACGTCTTTCTCCAGACGTGTTGCAAAATTTTCGAACTGCTTAGTTGCAAACTGATTTCACTTAAGCGTTGTTTGTGAGGATATTTGGCCTTACATTTCTTCTCATTCAGTTAAAAAAAA